CAGGGTTTGCTACACGCTGCATAATGCAAGTACCTGTGCTTACTCAGACTGAAGACGTTACCTCATCGGCTCCTAAGCCTCCTCAGGGGTCAGAGGAAAACAGAAGTATATAAAAAAATTCATTGCTATTTGCTTAGCCTTATCTTTTGATTTGTAACAAAGCACGATTCTGTCTGAACAAACTGAGATGAGTTTGCCTTTCCATCAAAGAACAGCACTTACTCATGCTGTAGCTTTTCTGTCTGGTTGTCTGTCTTTTCTGTGGCTTTGAGATGATGGTGGTATGCCTTTGAGTAAGGGTGCTCTCAAATGTGATTAAAAAAAGACTGCCACGAGACAGGGCATTAATATTTAAAATTTAAGGGCAGTATCAGCTGAGCAGGATTCCTGGCAGTCACTCTGCAAGTCTGAGTCAACCGCTGCTTGCTTAAACATGCAAGAGATTAAATATGCTTAATCGCTCATAACTCATCAGGAATCGTGCCATATTGAGGCTTAGATGCACAGAAATGAGAATGAAGAACGTGCAAGATGAAGAAAAACCGCAAACAATACTAGTCAATCGTTTTTTCAAGGCAGCAATGAGATAAATAGCGAGCAAATCGAAACTTTTGAAAAGAAAAGAGAAAGAGCCCAATAATCTCAACAATGTCTCAAGCTGTGCTATGATTTGTCAAGACACCAAAGTCGAACTCAAATATGTCTCATCAGATTTTTCCTTGATCAACTGAGCTACACACCCTCTTCGCTGTCAATCAAACCCTTCCGCAGTCCATAAACAGGATGTACAATAAATAGTTATAAAAAAGTTCTACATTTATTTCTGGTGTCATCGCTGCATGCAAGATCAGAAATTACATTTGCAACTATATTCAACAGCCTAATCCAAACTAATGCATAAAGGGGTATCAGAAGGCTCCCAGATGGATGATCCTAGAAACTGAGCTGGATCAGAAACTGACTGTGCTTCACACAGGTTGACTTCCTGTTACAGAAGCAGCAGAAAAAAGCTAAAAACACCAAAAAAAAAAGTTTTGCTCTTGCATAAAAGCAGACTGGCTTTATTTACTTTAAATCTTTATCTCTCAAGATCATCTTCACTTCCTCATCAAAAGATGTTGCTGAAAACCACAACTTCTCTTTCTGCCTCGCTGAGTGCAAGACAAGACTCTGAGCGCTCTTTGAAGAGGCCCGAATAACAGCCTGTGATGGAACGCAATCAGTACAGGACTGACGGCATTCTCGCTTTAAGTTGCACTGAGAGTACCGTACATTGTGTGAGATCAGATATAGGCTAGTACGATTCCAGGTTTGGGCCACAAATGTGTCATATTTTGTGGGGAGCACATGAGAGATGAGCTATATCTGATCGCTGTGTTGGTTGTGTGGCCATGGAAGGATGTTTGTATTGTGAATGGGGAAATTCCTGTGGGTGCACTCGCTGCTGCAATGAGCGATGGCTGACATGCAAAAAAAAAAGTACATAAACATAACACATATATATTGTCATTTGTGTGACACCATACAAAAACACATTTAAACCAACTTTCTTTTTAAATATTAAATTATATTATGAAGATGTGTTTTTATTAGGACTGTCAATCAATTAAAACACTTTTTTTTTTTTTTTTTTACTTTTTATGTGTAACTTATTGTACTTACTGAACAAGTTAAATGAACAACCTTAGTTTTTACACAGTTTCTTTTGATATTTGCCCTAAACCTCTTCTCCACTACTTTTTCTTGGAACTGCATCCCAACTACATCATAAGGATGTTCGCAGACATGTTTTTTCCCTAATCTTGTCGACCACAGACAGATGAATTGCTCATTGGAGATGGCGCTTGTGCCATAATGGAAATCTTTTGCATAAATGCTGACTGGGTGGTCTGTCCCTTTAATTTTGGTGAATTATATGCATAAACCATTTAAAGAGAAAACCTAAATTCTTTAGTACAAGGATGAAAGACGTTTGAGGTGGCTTTATTTGAAGCTAAAGGCTCTATTCTATCTAGTGAACTCCCATTTAGGGACACATCTCTTTCATATAAGGTAATAGCACTGGGGATTTGACTTCCTAATGGAGATGTTTAAATGAAGCTTATGGTCTACTTCCCCCCCAACTCTGACTAGTTCTTTATTAATGAGCACTGTCTTTCACAGTTATGTCGACTAATCAGGATAGATGATATGTCAGCCTCCAGGTTTGTTGTTTTTCACGTATTTAAGGATTCGTAGGGGTTTATAAATTGAGAGATAATAAAACCGTACAGCTTGTCAGAGGAGAAACTGGGCTTTTGGAGGTTTAAAAAGGTCACGCTTTATGTACTATGTGCACAACACAAGCCAAGAAACTGATCTGTTGTAAAAGCTGTCAATTATCACACAACTGAATCCTTGTTCTTGGAAGAAAAAAAAACAAAGAGCTGGTTTGTAATGATCAAAACTGATGAAAAAAACAAACTTTAATTGATAAGCTATGACGTCTGAACGGGTCATTGTGAACAGAGCTGTTTTTGACAAGGTAAAAAGGGTGGTTTTTTTACACTACCATTGGGAAATTTTAACCAAAGTATGTTATAGACTTTTTATTAAGGCCCCTAAAGAATCATATTAACTTGTGGAAGATGGGCATCCCATGACCCCTTTAAATGGAAACTATGCTCCACACAGAAAAACTAGCTTTTAAGTTTAGTTTTAAGCTGCACTATTCTGAAAAAGCTGTTAAAATAGTTGCTGTTAGTCACCATAAACAAGCATGAAAAAAGCAAAAGATGGTTCCTTCACTCACCACAGTCATAATAAAACTATGAAGTAATGTTCAAGTGCACATCCCTGATTCAGTCAACCGCTCTGGCATTCAGCCTCTCTCTATCTCCTCTCCCTTCTTTCTCTCTCCATTTCCTTGCATTCATCAGAGTCATAACCCTGTTGTCTCAGCCGAGTGAATCAGATTGAGCCCCTGGCACAGAATGAAGGCAAAGTCAACAGGAATTAAGTTTCAGTGCAACTGTTTACTCAACTGTGGCCTGCAGTTATTGAAATCTTATCCATGGTTTTGTGTGACGACTGAGGTAATGAATTCAGTATGCTTGTGATTTTCGAACTGACAACATCATGCTAAGTCCGAGAAGCACACGACAGACTGAAGCAATTCAGAGGAAGGCGAAAGCGAGTGTCAATCACAGATGCTTCAGATTATTGATTGACGGCGATATACTCTAGTTACAGATTGATCTCAAGCAGACTGAAGGGAAAATCAAGATGTCAAATGGGTTTTATTCCTATATGTAATCCAAAATAATCATCCTAATTCACAACCAACATCTTAGCAAATTAAACACAATACAAAATCAATATCCCTTCTATGAAATAAGACCAAAACAACTCAGTTTTGGGTCATTCTCTGTTTTCAAAGCAGAACTGTCCCGTTTGCCATTAAAACCAAGGCATTGTGCTCTTCAGTTCCACGACAGCCGTGTTACTTCGACAGACAGCTACTTCAGAGGCTCCCCATCCCCACCAAACAACCCTTGACAACATCTCCCATCATGCCGTGGGGTGCAGATAACACACGACTGGCTGATCTTTTCAATGCTGGCCCGCTCAACACGCTGTCGTGTGGGCAAACGCAACACTCAGACAGACAGAAAGAGCTCGTCTGTTTATTTCAGTGTGAGTGAGGATGTTTTGGGCGCTCTTGGTATATAATAAAAACAGCTGCAACACTCCACGCTCCAATGCTTTGAAAGGAAGCTCTCTGAAATCTCGACCTGAGTGTTAGGGGTGTTTACAATGCGACAGGTGAAATCTGTGGCGTCCGGAGGGATGCAGCACATACACGACTGTCCATAAATTCCATTGCACCTATGCATTTGTCCATTGCAACAAGCCTGATAAATATTTCACCTGAATGCAGATGCTGTGGAGTTGCCAGGATAAACACATTGGCAACCAAAAACACAATCACAGAAAGAGCACTTAGTGCGTTTAAAAATTCAAACCGCTCTCAATATACATAAATAATCATAATAATGTGTTTATGTACTCTGGTTGAAGGGGGTGCAATGATTAAATATTTACAAGCACTTAAAGAGGGGAGAGAAGGATGCTGTTGACATGCGTTAATAACAGACAGGTGCAAGAAAGAAAGAAAGAAAGGTAGAAACATGGGTATGGAAGAACAAACGAATAAAGGACTAAGAATTGAATTAAGAAACAAAAAAGGAAGAAATGAAAGAAGAAAGAGAGGACCAAATAATGATCAAATGATCAAAAGATGGAAGGAATGAATAAAAAAAGCTAAAGGAAAAAGGGAGAGGAAGGAAAGAATGAAAGAAAGAGTGACAGACAGGAAGGAAGGAAGGAAAAAAGGAATGAACAAAAACAATGTAAAGAGTTAATAGAAAGAAAGAAAGAAAGAAAGAAAGAAAGAAAGAAAGAAAGAAAGAAAGAAAGAAAGAAAGGACAAAAGAAAGGACAAGGATTGAATGATGGCTGAAAATGAGAAATGAAAGGAGGAAGGGAGAAACAAAATAACAACTGATCAAAAGGACATCAAAAAAGGAAGAGGAAGAAAGAAAGTAATGAATGAACGAAAGAATGAGCATCAGAGCAAAAGCAAGTAAGAGTAAAGAAAAATGAAAAAAGGATGCAGAAAACTAACAAATAAACAATGAACAGAAAGAAAATGAAAGAAAAAAGGACATAAATGATGAATAAAAAGAAGATAAGCAATGAAAGAAGGAACACAGAAACTAATGAATGAACAAATGATGAAAAAAGAAAGAATTAATGAAGAAATGAATGAAGGATAAAAAGAAATGAAAATAGGAAGGAACAAACGAACTAATAAATGAACAAAAGATGAAAGTAGCAAACGAGAAAAGAAATTGAGAGGATGGAAGGAATAAAGGAAAAGAAAAAAAGGAACAAGGAAAGAAAGAAAGAATGAACGAACAAACGAATGATGGAAGAACTGAGTAAAAAGAAAGAAAGACCTGCTGCTGCTGGAAGTTGACGAGGTCAGACACTGTGATGTCAGAGGAAAGAGTGGCGCTCTTGGATCGAACTTCTCTGTGTCCCTCCACACTAGGTGCGGCGCTGTTCTGATTGGCCGTTCCGTTTGTCGCCTCTGTCCCCGACTCTTGCATCATGACTTAAAAACCTGCAGCAGAAACACAAAACAAGTGTCAAAAATCATATTTAAAACAATTTCACGCAAAAGTCAGTTTCCTTTTTTGCTGCTCAATTTCACTTTTCCCATCTTTCCTCATCTATGCTGCTTTGTTTGCAAGCATGACTCTAGTTTAATAATAATAAACTGAAAACATGACAAAGCTTTTTTTTAATACTTTTGTTTGTTGTATCTTTCATCACATCACAGGCTGAAAAGATGCAAGCTTAAAATAAGTTATTTGTCTTTTTCTGTTTGTCTTTCTTCTTTATGCTGGGCCTGAAAGAATGAAGAAACAGCAAAGAGCGAATGGGATGGGAACCCAACCTCGGTCACGTCTCAGCAGAGAGGCCCAAGAAATCACACTGGCTCACAAACAAAACTTGTTCAAGTGGAATGGATATATTTACTTGCATTGCTCCCAGAAGAACCTCAGCCCGATGGCTTTTTAATGGGAAACAGGGCAGGGGAGTCGGTCGGATTACAAATCGTCCAATTCAAAACTTCTCTGCAAACGTTTGCATCCTGGGTGTTGAGTTAACGCCACAGTCCTGGGCCCGCACACAAATAAACAAACCTGAAAATATTCCGATGTACTTCCAAAGTATTTCCAATAATACATTACACTTTAACAATGCCTATTCAGACACACAAAAAGGCATTTTGTTCTTCCAAACGCTTCCCAACTAACTGCGTTATACTCTCAAAAGTCTAGTTTTCTCCTTCAACACTGATTTATCCACGTCGTCCCGAGACAGACACTTAGATTTATATCTTTTGCATTCATCCCTCGTTGGCGTGGAGTGCCTCGTAGCCCCATTTCAGACCATCTTAATGAAGCTGACCAAGTCGGGCAGAAGTAAATTAACTTGGCTTATTAATTATTGATATGAGGCAGAATGAATGCCCTTAAAGCAGTGGGTGCTAATCACATAGGCAGGTGAAAATTGAAAAGAATTCAGATTTATAATGCTGCCCCCTCTCAGACAGTAATAAGGCGCGTGATAATTGTTCAGCCAGGTTTGCAGGGGAGAGACGATTGCAGACGCAGACGAACACTTTGGGCATTGACCCATCTGGACCACTGGCGGGCTGCGTCTCTTCTATTGTGTTTTTGATAAAGCAGATGTACTGTAAACAATAAGACACATCAGCTACTAGACAGAAAATAAATATATACACAAAATTTTAATTTGTATATGTGTATATATAAATATATTTGTACTACATTTTAATAATTATAAAGGAAGGGCGTAAATTTGCGAATGCGTGGCATCTCTAAAAGTAATCATGAGAATGCGCCGGGGGGCTATTTTAATGTATGCAAAACTAGTGACCCACAATAAAGACATGAAGCTGCAATGAATGCAAAGTAATGCACGCGCGCCTGCATCCACGTCTGAAGAGGGCCAGCTAAAATTAACACCCAATTAATTTCGGAATTGACAAACAAATGAAACCCATAAATCTACTTTCTCATTAAATTTCGCCAAAGAATAATTCAAAAGCTGCAATATCGCGACCAAAAAAAGGATGAAAGAAAATGCCTGTTATCCATCACAAATATCAAATAGATGGAAGAAAAAAAATAACCTGGTGGAAGGGCATTAATAATGTCAACGGCTTTATGAATTAAGCTATTGTTTTAGTGTCTTATCATTATGATTCCAGCTTTGGATTTCCAGCTCCTCGCTTTGATAACAAAGGTGCAGCTGTGATTTTCTGTCGTCGCATTTTGGATGCAATATAAACATGAATAACAGACAAACGCATATAAAACCAGCAAGGGTTCACGAGAAACAGATTTGTTTGTTTACAGTGTTTATCGTGGCTTTAAATAAAAAGAAAACAAAGACTTAAGGAAAAAACTTCAATATAATGGAAATTCCCTGAGATTAAGCCCCCGCCGCCAGGCACCTACCAAACAAACCTCTATCATCAGATGTCTGCGCCTTTTCCGCACAAAACACTTGCTTGCTAAACACAACAAGTGTTTGGAACAAACAACGGATAATACAACAAGGTCAGAATATGTGTATGTTGACGTTTTGCTCGGTTCATCTGATATTGCGAGCACACGCACCCCACCTGGCCTACATAAAAGCATGAGCAAATACAGAAAATCAAGAGAGTTCTCCCTTATTTATTGTTTCCCTGGATTTGACTGTGTTTATGGAGAGAGTGTGTTTGTGTGTGCCGTGCACCAGGCCGGAAAGCAGACTCCATCAGCGTTAAAAAGATGCTGTCATTCCGGTAAGTTCTGAAAGCCCACCTGCTCTTACAAGCCTGTGTTCTCACACCACCCTTGCTTACACAAGCACACAACAAAAGCACAACATTCTTATGCTCCAGATAAGTAGTCACAATAAGGACGACAAAACCCTGTCATCACACTGTTGTTTAGGTTCAGCCTTGTTGCTTGTCTAGACAACACAATGATCTGTACGACTGAAAAGGTGTGAGAGCATCTTGAGGTTTTCCTTTTCTGCTTTTCCCCCAAGGATTCCTGATGAGTAACGCAGACATATTTTGGCTAGGGATTGTGGTGTGAGCAAAATTACCTTATGACCTTACATCACGGTACATTACGAGACATTTTTATATTACAGTAAAAGTGTATATGGCGATTAGCTTTGTATGAAATTCAACCCCAAAATAATTTTATAAATTGTTACAAAACCATGCAGTAATGCCTACTCTTTGACATATCAGCAAATTAAATATTTCTTCATTTTAATTATTCTTTTTTCTTATTTGGAACTTGGACACTGTCCAAATTGTAAAATTATTTACATCATATTAAAGCACTGAGATTTACCGATATATAAATTCTGGCCTATACAAGGCTGATAATTCTTACACACACACACACACACACACACATACATCGTGCATCTTCGGAAGCGGCGCTGCACAGAAAGTCCTGCCGCGCGCATCTAAGCGAACTTGCGGACGCGTCAAGTATAATCAGCCTTAAATCAGCCTTGAGCGTGTGTGCGTTAGAATACAGTGAAGACAGCGTGTTAGTTTAGAACTCTTCTCATTTTTTTTTTTTAATCGTAGAGAGTGTTAATATAAATTTATTAGAAAGTTCAGCTCATGAAAAATGGGGGCAAAAACAAAAGTATTGCATATATATATATATATTCTTTACAAATGTACAATAATAAAAAAATACAACAAAATAAAAAATGCTAAGTGAATTTAGGCATCACAACATTATAATATACAATATTAAAAACAGATAGTCATTATGAGATTTGATTATAAAACTTATAAACCCAAATGTAAAATTATTCACATCATATGAGTGTACTGAGATGTACAGATAAAAAAAATTCTGGTCGATACTGCTAATTATTTTCATGCTATGGTCAAGAACCGATAAATGGACAATATAAAAATTCTACTCGGTAAAAAAAAATAAAAATAAATAATAATAAAATAATTTAAAAAATAATTTTGAGATAGTACGTTAGTTTACATCTAACAGTGTTTTTTTAATTATTAGATTTTTTAATTTGTAAATTAAGCATTAGAGCATTACATGACGGCAAAGGCAAACTAAATGTAAACAAATAAATAAATAAGCATGTACAATTTGCTGAAAAAAAAAAAACGAATAAATAAACCCCAAAGTGTAATGCAAGTTCACTCAAATTGACAGAGATCAAACCTGGATTCTAATCCTCCTCAAAAGTCTGTCTGTTACATATCTAAGCCAGATATCATGCAACATGTTACCTTCGGTGTGGGTCTTCCACCCCAAGGCACAACTTTGCATCATTCACACATGTCGGCACAATCAGAACTAGTGACTCGCCCTCATGGAGAAGAATTGCTCGTCGCCCTCTCAAAAGAGGAAATGACAGCAGCGATGACATTCTGCCAAAAGGAGATCTCACTGTGAGACCAAACAGCCCCTCTAATCTCGACGGGCCTCTCCAGGCCAGAAACATATCTCGACACTACTGTGGCGACATTCTGAGAACAAAACCCCAGCACGTTTGGACAGACGGGTTTTGTCTTTTCTTTTGTGTTTTCTTGAATTTGCTTCCAGACCTTGTAGGGCTGATGCCGGTCCGGCAGCTCATACAAACAAAGCTCGCTATTTGTTTAATAACTGATTGCTGCCATGACTACGGTAAACAAGGGGGGAACAGGGCCTTTTCTTTCTGTTTATGAACAAACACATCTTCTCGCAAAGAGCAATTTAACATTAACCAGGTGGAATTATCAACAGATCCCATAGGTTACCCAGAGGGCGAGCCGAAATGTAAACACACTTCAGAGAAAGACAGCGAGCGATGGGACGAAAAGGATGGAAGAAGGCGGGCAAGCATGTATGGACAGCAAGGTCAATGCAAACGCAGCCCGTCTTGAATAAACAGTTGGAGGAGAATCTCAAGACAAACAAACAGTCATTTTCCTGACATTTAAAGAAGCATTAGGACGGCTGGGCTACAGCTGCTAACGGCCAACGTGAATGCGAAATAGATGGGGATGTTGCTCAACAGGCTGGATCTCACGGACCTCACGTTTCTCCTATACGTCCGGCTCGGTCTGCGGAACAAAGACACGCAGCATCATCCTTATTGCCTCTGTGAAAACAGCAGCAAGCAACTTGTAAAACCTGTTAAACATTACCACAGTCAATTACTCAGTAACTAGTCCTTGGAAAATATCAATTATGGCTGTGGGTTCTTGTATATTTACAATGACAAAGCGTCGAGTTTGATTGTACTGTAAACATTCACAATGGTATCGACTAAGGCAGTAAAAAAAACAAGTATTTTATAGGTGGTGTATACATAAACAACTATTCTCTTAAAGGGATAGTTCACCTAAAATAGGTGTTATCGTTTACTCACCCTCATGTTATTGCAAATGTATGCTTTCAGAAGAATTGGAATATAGAATTGGAATATAGTTGTATGGACCACTTTTATGGTGCTTTTTGTCCTTTTTGGGGATTTGGCTGCATAAATCTA